TTATCATTGCCAGTTGAAATTATAGCAAAGACAAAAGTCTTTGTTCTTGCAAGACCTTTTTCTGCATCTTAAAGTGCTAGGTGTATCTGTAATTGCGGGCACATTTTATCTATGAAGTAAAAAGAAATATAACAGAAGGTCAGAGGGACTCTGAAGAGATCCACTGTAGAGAAGATTCAGGTTAACCAGGCTATTTATAACTGGAAAGCCTCACCTAGAAGTTTGAAATTAATGCAGTGGAAAAGATGGCAAAAGCTTCAAAAAGCACGAGTGGTGTGTTCAGATCAGACCCTCTACAGCTGCATTGAGGCCTGCTTGTGTTTTCTTGCCAAGAGTGTTCAGTGCTTGTCAGTCAGCAGATCTCGTTATTCTGTGTCTTTATCCTCCAGAATTCTGTTTGCCTTCCTGGTCGGTTACACTTTACAGCTTTTGAGGTGGCACTGTTTGCGAAGAGACACAGTCTGATACTTGAGTGTGGAGGGATCCTTAGTCATCTGTCTGGATGAGAGGCACCTAGCCAGGTTCTGAAGTCTGTCTGTGAAGACACTGCAGGGAAAAAAGAATATATTATAGGGATCCTTTTCATCCTAAGGTAGACTTTCTACATTGCTGCTTATCAACTGCTTTTTAGACCTCCCTGTTTTTCACTGGAGTACAAATTGAATATAGCTAAGGCTTGCTGAGATTTCACCTTAAACTTTGTAACTCAGAGCAGCTAATGTAAACTTTAATGGTGCATTGAATATAGGTGATATTTTCTATACACAGGAATTACAGGCTGTTTCAGTGCTTGTAGTTTCCTGAACACCAATCCACAACAAGGGTGAGTACCAATGTGCTGTGTAGGCACACCTTTTGTGAGGAATAAGAACCTGGGGTTGAAAAAGAAAGGGAAACATCAGTATTATTGTAGTTGTTATTGTAGAACTGTTAGTTCTGTCTCTATATATCATATGTCCTAAGGATTAAAAATACAGTTAACATAGTTTTTGCTAATGCAGTCTGCCCTGGACTGCTGTGTCCAGTTCTGGACTCCTCAGTACAAAAGAGCCATGTAGCTCCTGGAGCTGGATCAGCAAAGGACTATGAAGAAGATTAGGGTACTGGAGCATGTCACTTATGAGGAAAGGCTTATGAGGGAGCTGAGCCTATTTAAACTGGAGAGAAGACTGAGAGGGGATCTTCTCAATGTATATAGACATCTGAAGGGAGGGTGTCGAGAGGAAGGAGCCAGGCTCCTCTCGGTGCTGCTGAGCAATAGGAAGAGAGGTAATGGGCAGAAACTGATGTACGGGAAGTTCCACCTGAACATGAGGAGGAACTTCTTTACTCTCTGATTGACTGAGCACTGGAAGAGGCTGCCCAGAGAGGTTGTAGAGTCTCCCTCGCTGGAGATACTCAAAAGCCATCATGACAGAATCCTTAGTAACATGCTCTAAGGGACTCTGCTTAAGCAGGGAGGTTGGACTAGATGACCTCCGGTGGTCCCTTCCAGCCTTACCCGTCCACAGCTTCTGTGTGACGCGGTGAACATGCATCAGCTTTTTGTCAACTGACATACAAGGACAAATTATGTCAATTACATTGACAATTACAAAAATAAATGGAATGCATGAATAAGTAGATTAGTCAGTTAAAAAATAAGTGTGCTCTACTTAGATGTCCTTAGAATGCTCAAGGCACAGAAATGATTCTTCTGCACACAGCTGCAAACGCAGAATTTGTAGTATGTTTTAATGTGCAGTGTGATAGTATTATAGCTTCTGCAGTTTCTCTGTTCAATTTGTCAGCGTTAGATTGTCTTATTCAGAGACTTGTGTAAATGTTGCACGTACTACTTTGAGACATACTGGGTGCATGAATGCAGTCGTATTTCATTCCCTTATTGATTGAAATAACTCTACTGTTTGATAGTCCTGTTAACCGTGTAGAGTCAAGATAGCAAGGAAAGTGTGGGCTGTGTTCTGTCTTGCTTATGATTTTAATCTCTTTCTGAATTAAACATGCAAACTTATTCAAGGAGGGGAGCACTGTGAAAAGTCTTATTTGCCATATTCAGTTGCTAGTAAAGGAAATAATGCTACAAATAATTTGAATTCTTGAACTTCAGGTTGTGTTTGCTGGACTAGGAGTTGTACAACAGAAAGAGAAAAGATACTTACTTTGTATGCCATTGGTATAAGCCAGTATACCGACATGGCTGTGAATAAATTTTGTCTGTAATCCAGCTCAGAGTGAAAAGGAAAATAGGAGAGAAACATCTGTTACACTCTCAACAGCAGCTTCTTGAGCGTGTTGGCTTTCGTCTGTGGAAGAAGCCATGCAAATTGTCCATGAGCATAATTTTAGCTCATATTTCAGAAACCAGAGGGGTTTTGTACAGAGAGTTGGCATTTGTGGCAGCCCAAACTCTGCAATGTGCCATTGGGTCTTTTTGGCATTTCTGCCTTTTCCCTTTGGATGAGAATTTGTTAGTCAAAAGTAACTCAGTTAAGCTGCTTGTGGTTCTAGTGGATGTTTCTGTTGTTCATAGTCTCCATCCTTCATGCCGTGCCATTTATTAGATTCTTAAAAAAATTACTAGTGAACCAAACTACACATAAGCTTCTACACAAAGATCCAGGGAATGCTGAGCCAGCATTTTGAAAGAAGAGTGTGAATAAAAGTCTGAAGCAACTAACGTGAGTATATATGCATGAGGCAGAAACTTCCAATTTTGTTTGAAAAAAAGCATTTATAAGCTTTTTGTGCAAGTATTGAAAGATCCTTGTTTTACAAATATACAGAAAACTCAAGGAGTCTAAATTGTTTAGTTGTGGCCTGTGCTTTCAGGGAAGGAATTGCTTGAGGAATTAACCCTACATTTCAGTGTTGGCTGAAAAGTGTAACCCTGTGTTCAGTGAAATGAGGAGCTAAGGTGGCTTGGATGTAACTGAACGGCTTCCACGTTATTCTTTGTAATGCTGTTGGAAAGAGGTTGTCTTGGCAAAAACGGCAAATTATTCCGATGCCAGAGTTCTAGCAAACAATAGGGAAATTGCATTTACTTGGTACATTACATATGCCGTTCAGTTTTTGGACTTGTTTATAATACTATGTAAGGCAGAGATTGGCAGCTTTTCAGGAGTGAGGTGCCAGACTGTATTTTTCTTTCACAAATTAGAGGTTAAGAGCGGTGGTTGAAAACATTCAGATGCACTGTCAGGCGTGTTTGGAAACGGCTGGCTGTCAGGCAGGCAAGATGCCACCCGGGAGGAGGTGGATGGCACAAGGGGCAGGGCTCCCTGTCCCAGTGCTACCAGAGCCAGGAGTGCTCTCAGAATGCCAGAGCTTCTGGTGCTCTGGCCCCTGCCAGTGATGCCAAGGTTGCACGCCTCTGGATATCTACCCACCTCTTCCTTTGCTGTGTACACCAAGGATTGGAAATTGCAGGCCCAGTAGGAAACTCTGTCTCAAGCATCTGAAATTGTCTGCTGTAATTGCTGTTAGTGTGAAGTTTGACATAAATTTCTTGTCCGTGGTTGGCTTGATGTCACTCTACATTTTTTTGTAACGGATAGTTTTGACACAAGATGGTCACAGTGAAACCAAAGCTAATCACTTGACCAGTAATGTCCTCTTGTACATTGCATTTTTCTAAAATAGGGATGAGTATGAATGGTTTTGAGGAAATAATATTTGAAACCCCTGAGCGTATGGAAGAAGATGCTTTTTGTGAAGTGATGTGGAATATTCTAATATCTCTATTGGTTTTGCAGGGTGTATTAATCAAGAAGTAATACAATAATACAGTAATTACAGTATATGATAGTAAGCTGTAGGCTTACTTTACTTTAGAATCTAACCTTTGACAAAGAGCTCTAGCTGTTTTATATGTGTAACAACTCTTGGAAGTACGAATTATCAGGTAACCTGGAGCCACGTCTGAACATTATGCTTGATACAAACCTAGTGTAAGTGTGCATGAGTTGGCCTCTTTTTGTTATCATTCCTACAAAGTCACTGGTGTCGTGTCTCGTGTGACATGTTTCAAGACTGTGCTTGTCAGTGCTTGTATCAGAAAGCGTCCAGGTCCAGCCTGATTACAGGCATCTGCCTCTTGATTTTAGGACAAGGCTTATTGTTAAATTAAGAGCTTTCAAATGTAGTCATGGCATGGGACAGTTACTGTTTGGATATTCCCAGAGTACCACCTCTGCAACCTGTCAGCATATGAACACATTGTCTTCTATCCATGGCCATATGACAGTAGATAATTTTTCACATTTAAAAAATATAAATAGTTTCTACATAGAAGAAGTTATGATGAAAATATTTAAATTATTTTTATCACTTCATAGCTTATCTCAGTTATTTTGGTCATTGCATTATAAAAAAACCTGGCATCATTTTCTTCCTTAAAAGAATACAAATGTGACTACTTTGAAGTAGCAGAATGTACTAAATAATCAAAATATTTAGCAATATAATTAATATTACACATTTTAACGGGATATCATGTTTTCTTTTCCTAGGAGCTGTGATCATTTCCACGCCACAAGACGTGGCTTTATTGGATGCACTCAAAGGAGCTGAAATGTTTAGAAAAGTCCACGTACCTGTAAGCCTCTACATTAAAAATATCAGTAGATTTTTTTCCCCAAAAAATGTAAAGGAACTTTCATATAAGGCAGCAGATGAACATTCAGCAATCACTTGAATTTCATAAATTCTTGTTAAAGCAAAACGATTGGAATCCATCTTATGTCTGTATCAGGAACTTGCTTTAACACAAAGAAAAGATTTTTTCTTAGTCTGAGGTCATAATAATATGTGATTTCTTTTAAATCAGTTTGTAATCATGTGGAGTGGATCAGGTTGCTAAAGAGAATGTCTTATGAAGTAATGTGTGCTTTTCAATTAAACTGTCTTACTGTGTCCTCATTAGATGTCCTCTTCAGCACTGTGTATGTTAGAGCTTTGAAATCTGAAATTTCTTGAAATGTAGAAAAATCATATATTGGTATATTTTAGGAAAATGTAAGTTTTTGGGGAGATAAGTGTGTGTAGAACTGTCACTTTGCCATTTGAAGGGCTCCGTGACAATCATGACAAGTAGAAGGCTATCTAATCACTATTTTTCATGACGTTTATACCTTATATCTTATCTTACTTATTTGGGAAATGCAAAATTTAAGAATATCCACAGTTAGGAGAAAATATTAAACAGGCTGACATCTTTGAATTGGTATTTTCTCTGTGTGCTACAACTTGCTAAGTCACTGAATGTTATACTCTAGAGTTTGTTTATGTAGAGATTAATTTTTCCTTTGAAACGGACAGTTAATGAGAAAATAGAAACTGAAATGCTTCCTTATCATAAATTGTAAAGAAAAAAAGATGTTTTCTAGCTTACCTATGTGAAGGTTACTTTTACTCTTTATTAAGAAAGGAAATTTCTTTCATAGCTAGTGCTTTGTTAATTTAAAAAATGCAACAGAAAGTTGAAGTGACTGCTTTCCCTTTTTTTTTTTAATTTACAGAGTAGTTTAACAAAAGAAATACTTGATAAATTCACTATTATGAACTATTCCTTAAGCATATTTGCATCAAAATAAAAGTATAGTAGCATTTATAACTTGCTGTTGGAAGGAAAAAAAGAACAACATATAGAATGTTTTGGTTTGATTTTGGGTTTGCTAAAATTATGTAAAATAATTTTTCTTCAATTTAAATTGTGTTCAAATCAGCACTCTGCTGAATTTTCCTTTTGTTATAATAAGAAATTACCAAGATTGCTTTCTAAGACTGTTTTGTTCAAAGTTTTTGAAGAGGATGGCCTCTAAGAATGTCGTTCTAGGATAGGCTTAGCTAACATTAATTTGACTAGTGGTAGATAAGATATTAAGTATGATCTATTTTAGTTCACTGGAATTTTCAGATCTTGTTAAATCAAATGAAAGTCCCAGTAAAGCTGTTATGCCAGATGTTGAGTTTGAATGGGCTTGAACCAGTCATGAGGTCTTGCCTGTTTCATGATGGTGCTTCCTTTTATTCTGCCTTTGAATGTACGTGAGCAAAGGTGCATCATTTACTTCCGTTTTAAAGCAATTCCTGCCTATGCATTCCATTTTTAAGTGTCAGCTAAATCTGAGGACCTAAAGAAAATGTAGTTACATAATTTTTGATGGAAAACTTCAAACCTGAGGTTTACGTCAAAGAGGTGGAATCTGTGGGACTGTGCTAAAATTATGCATTCTGATTATATAAATGACTGATCTTTAAAAATCTAATCTCTAAAATCTTTAATCTTTAAAAAAGTGCTTACGAAGATCCTGTTTTTCAAAGAAGCAGAGAGTACACAGGTTGCAGAACTATGTTTTTTTATATTTAATGAACTGCAGTCTCTCCTGTGTACATACAAATCTACATATACCACCTTCCTCTCATACCTACTGTCACGAGTTATCCAAGACTCAGGTGACACATGTAGTATTTTACCACATATATTGGTAGTAGTATATGTAGTATATTACCACAGTAAAGTCACAATCATTAATGTTGTTTGCTTGTCCTTTACGATATCAAAATTAAAGTAGAATGACTGAAGGAACTGATGAAAAGCTGGCAATGAGAGCGTTAAAAACCAGGATCACAGCACAGAATTTTCAGTCTTAGGACATAGTCATTAAAAGAGGAGTGTCATATCTTGTGCAGTCAAGCACTCCAACACTTCCAGTACAGAAGGAGTTTGCTAAGTGGTGCTGACTGGTATAAGAAGTTTTTAAGGTTCTTCCTCATTATGTGAGTTTGGTCAACATTTTCTTGCATTCCAGAGGTTGACTCAGAGTGAGTAACTTTGAGTATTTAGGAAAAAAATGGCCTGTTTTCACTTGCTGAAGTTGAATTCAGTTCAGTATGGTTTATCTCATCAATCGTATCCCTGAAAGAAAAAGACAGGGTTTTAGTTAAATCTGCACCTTTTTTTGGAAGGGTATGTTGTGGATTTTTTAGGTTTCAAAAAACTGCTTAGATAAACTCAGCTATGTATTTCCTTCTAAGTTATACTAAAATTGCTTGTTTGGCTATGTTCTTTCTGCTATATCTGTAGCATCCAGAGTACCCAGGCAAGATATGGCTTCATATTGGGAGCAGATGTTAGAGCCAAAAATTGCTCATTTTAAGATGAAAGGTAGGAAGACAGAAATATTGTGCATGTTTACTTGAAGCACTACAGTGTGAAGTGACTGACTCATGGTTACGTAGGAAGCTGATGGGAGACTGGAACCCATCAGATTGAAGTCAGACCTCAGCACCATCCATCCTTGAGTACAGTGAATGACTTAAATGGGTTAATTGTTAATTATCTCCTGGTGTAAATACGAGAGCTTTCGTTTTATTACTGTATTTTCTTTAACTTAGAAGGTAGTATATTTTTATTTAGGCATGGTTTATTGTGTAACCAAGAGGTTAGTTGAGCACAAGAAATATGTAAACATTCAGAAACTGTGTGCAGATAACTCATAATGAAAGGTTTCTTCATTTCCTGTTATTTCTTGATAGAAGTCTCTTCACCATTTAAAATAATTATTTGACTAAATGAAATTGAGTTCCATGCATTATAACTAGAGTCTCCTCTGCTGCAATAGGTCAGCTCCTGCATTGTGATTCATATAATAAATACCAGTTTTCGTGTCATTACTGAGCCAAGTTTGCCAAGAAATGTTCAGGAAAAGGAGCTCACTAAGGACTATTCTAGTATTCACACATGCCTGTGGGATAGTTTGTGTAACAGCTGCTTTGAATCTATTAGAAGTGTATTATTTGAGCAGGGAAGTGAGAGTTATTACTGACTTCATTAGCAAGACATTACTTTGTAGATTTAAAAACTCTGAAGATCGTAGTGAACTCTTTCCTTCTTTAAATATATGTGCAAAAATATGCATGGTAAAAATACTTCAGCAGGAAAGTTGTGTGTTTGCACAAATTCTGTATTAAACTTAGCATTTTTAATTTGCATCTTAATGTTAAAAAAAAAAATCTTCATACTCCAGAAGAATAATTTATGTATTAATAAATATGCAGTACTCATTCACTGACAAACAGGACCAACACTGAAAGATTATTGTGTAATGCTGAAACATCATTTGCTTTTAGTAAGGTTTATTAAAGTGGAAAGGAAAAGGAGAGCAAATAAGGCCTCTAAAGATGATATAACATTGGAGATACAGCTGTATCTTAGCATTTGCATTAACTGTGGCAGAAGGACCTCTTAGTTATTAAGTCATCAAAGAATTAACAACACAGTTGTAATACTCCTTAACTATTCACAAAACAATAGTAGACTATAAAACTTTTTCTTTGATTGTAAATTCACTGAATCATAAACGTTGTGCGACTACTTTGAAGAGAACAGAAAGTTCAAACTCCAAGATACCTGAAAATGAATTAATTAAAATGTGCATTTCAAAGTATCTTTTTTTTTCTTTTTTTTTTCTTTTTTTTTTTTTTTTTTTTTTTTTTTTTTTTTTTTTTTTTTTTTTTTTTTTTTTTTTTTTTTTTTTTTTTTTTTTTTTTTTTTTTTTTTTTTTTTTTTTTTTTTTTTTTTTTTTTTTTTTTTTTTTTTTTTTTTTTTTTTTTTTTTTTTTTTTTTTTTT